ACAGGACTGTTTGTCCTGGACTAAACAAATGTTACTCAAGCCCTTCTTTCATCAGGCAGTACAAATAGTATCGTAGCTGAACGTGTTTGCTGTGCAGCTCCCTGAATGATTTTGGATGACTGGTAATAAAAACATGTATAAAAAGATATATCTCGTAATGTGTAAGTTCCTTGGAGCTATAAAACAGTTGCCATTACAGGCAGCTAAAGCTCAGATCCATCACTGCCACTTTTAAATGTTATTTGTAAGCAGTAAAAGGTATTTAATAAAAGCAGTGTTTCTTTAGTGCCTTTTGACAATTGCATTGGCTCATTAGTTTTCTCCCTCTTCACCCACCAAAATCGTGGTGCCTTTTCTAAGTGCATGTTGACTGTAAGGAAAAGACCATTCAACATCTACAAACATCCCCAGACAGCAAGCAAGGCACTACCCAGGCTTTGTTTGAAGCTGTGGTGCATTGCCCAGGTCTAGAGAGGCTGTGGCTCTGACAAAGGGGTTGGAGGAACGTGTGTTAAGTGTTTATAGCAGCCATCTGTGATGTGTGTAGTTCTTGGGACAGGGTTGTCCCCAGTGAGCGTGGTACAGCAGCCACAGCAGCATTGTGTGAGTGCCTGTGTGCAATGGCAGGGCTCCTGGTGGGTGAGAGCTGGCCAGGGACACAGTGACTGGCAATGGTGGTGGCATCGTGATTGTCAGCAATCCCTTTGGTCCATCAAGCTCCTTCCACAGCAGCTATCACAGCTGATCAGCTTGGGCTCCTCTGGGCTTCATTCAGGAGCAGGACCACCGTGTGGTGAAGGATTGGGAATGTGGGGAGAAGGGGAGGAGGCACAGCCAGCAGAGAAGGATGCAGGATGAGAGGCAGGGCTGGAGGGTGAAGGGGAAGGATCCGACTGCGCCCTTGGCTGTGGCTCTGCAGTGTCTTCATGAGGTTTTCTGTGCGAAGCTTCACAGTGTGTGGCTCTGTCCTGTGAGTTCTGGGACGTGTGTGGGGAACCCCCCTGCTCCCCTATCCTGCATTACCCCATTTTCTGCTTCACTTGGAAGCAGCCAAAGAGCTGCCAAGGCCAAAATTTGTTGCTGCTCTCAAACGGGTGGGGAGTCCATTTGAAGGGACTGTTTCTAGAAGGCAGTCACAAATGGCCTCAGCAAGATTCCATTTCATGGATTCCTTTTTCTGGTGACTGACATTCCAGTGACGAATGGGCATTTGATGGGCTGGGAGTTTCATGACTTTTCCAAATGGCTTCATGGCTGCTTTTCCAAGTTGGGAATATTGTGTGTGCATGTGTGTGCATTGGAATAAACAAAAATGTTTCTATGACAGCAAGTAGGTCTAAGTGGAAAGAAACTTTTAATGTATTATCTAACCATACATGAAAGATAGATAAGTGAAAAAACCTCCCACTAGCATTGCTGTTTGTCTCCTGATTCTGCTGATTCACATCTGCATCAGGACAACAGGCAATTTCCTGCTGTCATTCCTCTCTGTTCAGGCAACCCCTGCTAAATATACTTGTTTTGATAAAACAAGAGCTGGGAAATGAAATTAATTAGCTGATGCCTTCTGGAGAGGCAGCTGGGTGTTTGTTTTGTCCGTGTGAAAGGGATGTGGGAGAGCGGTGGAGGGAGAGGTGCATTTCCTGGCTTGTGTCAGTTATTCTTTGGTTCTTCCTGACAAATTCCCACAAAGCAGCCTTTCTGCTCTGCAGCTTTTTAGTGAAATGATCTGTCAGAGTAATGAGGAGGAGATGCCATGTGAATGGAGCAGCCTGGGAAGGTGTTCAGTGTGCCCTGCAAGCAGGTCTGCTATCTCTCACTGCCCTGTGGCCATTCCTCCTCTCATGTGCAGGGGCTGCCTCCTAGGCACCAAACAAAACCATTTTTCAAAGTCTTTTATCTCTCCCAGGTTTACCTCTTGCTTCCATCTCTCTCCTCTGTCAGCATGACAGCCTGGACACAAAATCAAAGGCCAAACTCATCTGAGAACCAAGGGGTTGCTTTTGGCTGTTTAACCTGCCACCCACAGAGCAGATGCAAAATGTGCTGCAGGAGCCAGCAGGGTGTGGGTGAGGGTCCCACTGTGCTCAGAGCCCACACTGCATCAGTGCTGCAGGGGTGCTCTGGCGTGGTGCCACCTCTTTCTCAGGATGTAAAGTCAAACATCTGAATGCTGGATGTCCCAAGGCTAAATGCCTGTGACCTGCTCTTCTAGTCCCTGCTTTTCCATCCTCAGTGAAAACACAGGGATTGCTGCTTGGAGAACCATTACTTGGACACTCTGGCCAAATGGGTCGAACATCAGCAAGAGCTGCAAATAATCCTGCCAAAACACAAAGGCTACAGGAAGCCATCAGGTGAGCACAGTGTCTTCTTGCTGCCTGTTCAGAGCAGGGTGGAGATGAGGGTGACCCAGGGCTTGTGCATTGACCTGGAGAGCCCCATGGTCAGCTGCTCCCATGGCTACCCCTCCTGCTGGGTAGCAGTAGCAGCACAGAGAGGAAGTGATTTTCAGTTGGATGCTGAAGTTTTGCTGTAGTTCATCTGCTGCTTTTCTCCTACCCAGGATCATCCAGTGGATTTCTTGAGTCACTGCCACCAGTTGAAGGTTCCAGAGTTTCCTTGAAGAGCTGCTCATGGAGTTTTTCAGATTTATCACAGCTAAACCTTGTAGTGAAAATTGTCCTTACTCAGTGGTCTGCAGTGTTTTGGGATGAGTGGTGGTCTGAAAGTGTGAAGAAATCAGGATTTATATTCATGATGTCTTCAAAGCTTCAGTGTGTGGAATAGATTTTGTTCAGACACCTCTTATTTCTCCAGTGTGTATCATCATCTGTCACCAGTTGCTTGGCCTGGCTTTCATCTGGTGTCACCTCAACTGTAAAATGCTTTAAGATGTTCTCCAGCCAGTCAGCTAGTGAGTGTAGACAAGAGAGATTTTTTTTAATGGTGTCATTTAATCACAAGGGTATGCTCACATTTAAAACTGGCAACAGGAACCAATTTCATTTCACCAATGAAATGCAAAGCCTGGGAAGTGGCTGGAAGGAGGAAGGTCTCCTTCCAATCCCTAGCCCAAAAAAAGATGTGTTTCTGACATGGGTAATCAGATAGTCTGTCCAGCCTCGTGCTCTGATAGGCACACGCTGCAATCAGCCTTGGCAATGTGCTGTTCACCTTCCAGTGGCTGGAGCACAGCTAGGAAAGGATGTCATTGCACCTGAACAGTGTAAACTAAGATCCTCTTTAATGAAAAACATCCCAGTCCACCTCATGCAGTCACTTCCATTTTCCTGGTCTCAACACCTGTGTGCTCTTGTTCCAGCCTGTCTGGGGCCAGACGAAGGTCTCGTCGCTGTTCGCTCTAAAGCAAAGATGACTGGCAAGAACAGGAATGCAGGGCTTAAATCATTTATAGCTCTGTGCATGCATTTCAACACAAACTAGAAGAAAAGCAACAAAGACAGGCTCTTCCCATTCCTGTCAAGTCACCCTTCTGTAGCCTGAACTTTGCAGTGGCAGACAGGAGAAGAAAACCATCAGAAGATGCTGCAGTTATTTACGTGGCACGGCACGTGCTCCCAGTAGCATCTTCTTTTCAACCAGAAGCAGGGATGAAAGCTGCCTGCAAATGTTATTTCTAGATGAAATTCCAGATACTGCTTTAAATCCCACTTTTGCATGCCATGAAAGCTCCTGAGAGCAGACGGAAGCATTAAACAAGTTCTAGAAAGGGTGTTGGCTGAGGCTGCTGATGGCTCCACGGCTGGTGGTGTCTCTGCCCCACAGAGATGGCATGTAAGCCCTGCCCCCCTGAGGGATAAGCCTCCAGGGTTTTGTATCTCTCATCCAAGGTGGCTGTGAGCCTCCTGTTCCCCTTGTGCATAAAACATGGAGAAGGATACCCAGCCAGGTTGTGTGAAAAGGGATCCTGAGGGAAACACTTGGTTAAATGATCCAGGAGGGAAATAATTAAATAGATGCAGCCTGGATGACACTGCAGAAACTTCCTTCACTGCAGCTTTCTCTCCTGAGACTGGGGGAGAGCACTGTGGGTTATTGCATTTCACATCTCAGGACCTCAGTTGCTTTCTGCCCAAGTATTAATCGTGCCTGTATCACAAACACTTCAAGTCCTTCTCATGCTTCCCAAATTCCAACGTGGTTTTAGGATGCACCAAGTGTTTAAATAAGCAGGGTGTGTAATGACGGGATGGAAAATGTCAGGGATGGGTGTGAGCAATGTACTTAAAGGAAATTTCCCCCTCTTCTGTCACTGGTGGTGGAAAAATGTCAATACTGTCCATGGGCTGGGACCTCCAGGGGCTGGAGGAACCCAATGCCTTGCCCTGCAAATTAGAGAGGGAAGGGGCAGGGGGAGCTAAGAGACGTGTGTCTGAGGCAAACAGACGAGTGAAGCCCCTGGTTGATGAGCAGTGCTGCATCCTGCTTGCCTTTCCTGATCAGTCTGTAGAGAAAACTGGCACCTGATGGTTCAGGCTGATGGGCTTGGAAAGGGGTCAGGCTGTAGAACTGCAGCTGTGGTGGCCCCCAGGCAGCACTGCCCCACGCCCACCGCCCATCTCCCCTTCCTCTGCCCAAAAGCTGCAGTTGGTGTGTGTTGCTTGGCCCAGGTCCCCCCATCCCATGCCAGGAATCACTGTGCTGAAGTGTCTGAGGTGGGGGGGACTCTGGGCAGCAGGCTCCTGGAGGCTGGGCAGCTGCTCTTCCTCACAACTCATCCCGCTCTT